CAGCTTGCCTGAGAAGTGTTTGGGGGCTGAGGGCAGGCAGCAGCTGAAGGCTGCTGTAGAAAGACTGTAACAGAAAAAACCCAGAATCGGAAAAACAGGTGTGGAGGCCTGTGGGGAGGAGACAAAGGTGGCCACTGCAGCATCAGCAGTGTGCCAGGTTCACCATCTTGGTGTGGTTTAATAATGGCACACTTTAGATGCCAGATGTAATTAATATCTAAGTTGTTCCAGTATAATAAAACTCAGGAGACAGAAATTGAGATAAAGAACTGATAAATCTAAGGACAGTGAAGAGTTGATTGACTGACCCTCTCTTCACATTTTTCCCAACCACCAGCCCCTGAAATCCTCTCTTCTCTCTTCCTGTGCTCTCTAGGCTACCTCCTCAGTCCTCCAAGAACTCTATTGCTAATCTCAGTTAGCCAATTGCTGCCTCCATCCTTTGATACAAGGTGACTTTATTGGCACAGTAAAATGACAATACAAACAATTCTTCTACAAGAGATTTTCATATATTGAACCATCCCTATACCTCTGGGATGAAGGCCACTTGATCATGGTGGATGCTATTTTTCATGTGTTTTTGATTTGTCAGTATTTTATGGAGCACTTTTGCATCGATGTTCATAAAGAAAATTGGTCTGTAATTTTCCTTCCTCATTGAATCTTTGTGTGGTTTGGGTATCAGAGTCACTGTGTCCTCATAACAAGAATTTGGTAATGATCTTTCTATTTTTGGAATATTTTGAGTAGTACTGGTATTAGCTTTTTTTTGGAAGTCTGGTGGAATTCTGCACTGATACCATCTGGCCCTGTGCTTTTATTTTCTATTTGGGAGACTTTCAATGACTGATCCTATTTCCTTAGGGGTCGATTTGAATATTTTATCTGATCAATCTTGATTTCATAGTTGCATGTGATACTATTGGGTCTGGGATCATACAATAATGGGGGATATACAACCAAAGTGTATTAAACGAGAAGCAGAGTGTATTACAGAAAATAAAAAAAAGTGGGGGAAAAATAACCACAGGGCACTAAAGCTTATCAACTAGCTTAGACCACAACCAGTGTTTGGATTCTGAGACTGTGGTAATAGAAAAACAATGGAGGGGTAAAGGAATACACATTTGCCAGGATCAGCTTATTGGAGAAGGCCCATATGCTTCAGTAAAAACACAATGTTTATATGATGTCCAAACCCTAATTTTATATCGAACGGCAGCCTTGAATGCATGGGACAGAGTTGAGGAACCAGGAAAAAAACTGAGTGATTTACAAAAGTTATGCAAGGCCCCAAAAAAATCTTTCACAGATTTTTTTTTTTTTACAAAGACTGGCTTCAGCATGTTGTTAAAAGGAAAAAGCAAACTCCCTGTATCATGCCAGAATAAAAGAGCCATTTTCTGTTATGGGACAGGACAAAAGCCAAATTAATTAAGGGACTATTCTATTACTAATCTCAACTCTTTGATTCTATTCTGATTCTTTAAACTTTTCTTAAA